TATTATTATATGTATGTATATATATATTTTTTTCTATCTCACAGATTTTCTCATAATTGTGAGATACAAACTCAATTCAGAGAAAAAAATACTTAGTTTATTTCTCGTGATTCTGACTTTTTTTTTCAAATTTGAGTTTATATTTTAAAATTCTTTTGAGGGATATTAAGTTGTAATTACCTTATTTCTTTATCTCGTGGCAGAAACAAAAAATGCTTGCTTGCATAAAAAAATAAACAGTATTACTTTAACAAATAGTTAATATGTTAATAATTAATAAGATATTTCAGCTTGGGTGTCACTTTTGATAAACTGATGATAATAGGGTATATGTCGAACGTCACCTGACCAAACCCAGAAAACGAAAAAAGAGAACGTGCTAACAGCCGTACTAAATAATTGCGATATCTATGGACTTTTAAGATAATCAGTTAAACTAGCTAGCTATTTTTATTAATTAAGTTTTATTACATTTTTATATCTAAATGTTAGTGAAAAGAATAAAAATAAAAAACATTTAGAAATCATTCCGCATATGTGATGGACATTGGTTATGATCATCATTGGTATCTACATCTTGAGTAAAACTGCTTCATATTTAATGAAGCATATGCAAAACGCTTGAACCGGAAGCGACGAGACCCGGTTAACAGAATCGGTCTGTTGTGCATAACCCCAATAGCACTCTGTTCCTGCCTAAGTTTTGGTACTCAACTAAGTAACCAGTGTATATCGCCCTCTGCTGGTGAAAATAATCCAGCGTATCCTTGTATCAGCGCCCTCTGCTGGTGAAAATAATCCAGCGTATCCTTGTATCAGCGCCCTCTGCTGGTGAAAATAATCCAGCGTATCCTTGTATCAGCGCCCTCTGCTGGTGAAAATAATCCAGCGTATCCTTGTATCAGCGACACACACACACACACACACACACACAACAGCAGTGCGATGAGAGACTATGTTCAATAATCACATACATGCAATACTAATAGTAATAACAATCAAAATAAACACTGTCTCTGCCAAATAATATAGTCCATTAGTCTGCATGTGGGAAAATGTTTTTTAATAAAAAAATAATGTCACATTATTGTATTAATCCTTGTAAAAATAGCACATTTAAATAAATAAAAAATCTACCATATATACCAAGTTCAGTTCACCAAAAACAACACTATCAATGGACAACACGCATTTTCTGATTTATGAACTATTGTAATTTAAAACAACAGTTTTCTATGTGAATATGTTGTAAAATTTAATTTTAAAATGTTCGGCATCATTACTCCAGTCTTCAGTGTCACATGATCTTCAGAAATCATTCTAATATGCTGATTTGCGTATCAGCGCCCTCTGCTGGTGAAAATAATCCAGCGTATCCTTGTATCAGCGCCCTCTGCTGGTGAAAATAATCCAGCGTATCCTTGTATCAGCGCCCTCTGCTGGTAAACGTAATCACTACATGGCTGCTCTGGACTGTTGTAACTTACCGACGGTTCCCGGTGGGCAGGGCTGCTTGGCGACGAGGCCCTGGCGTGTTTTGGGCCAGGTGATGGAGGAGTCGGTGACGGGGCTGCAGAACTCCACGGCGATGTTGGGCAGGACGGAGGACGGGTCGGAGCGTGCCGTGACCTCGGGAAGAGCCGCCGGCTGCTGGTCTGTCGTGGTGCTGCGTGGGGCTGCTGCCGTCGTCGAGGCGGGAGATCTGGTGGTGGTGGTTGTCACGGTGACGGTGGTGGAGGTGGTCGTCAAGGTGACGGTGACTGGGCGAGTCGTGGTGTGTGTCGTTGTTGTGTCCATTAAAACGTTTCCTGAGGAGGAAGATTCTGAAATCAGAAGAGAAAATAGAGTTAGAACACAACAAATGGCATTTATACCAGAACATACTGACTTCAAATTATATTTCCTGTAATAATGATCATCATTATAAATATACATAGTAACACATTATCTAGCAGCAAATTACTTAAATGAAAATCAACCAAGCAGCGTCCTGAAGAAAGTGACCTCATGCTGAGATAAAAAAAAATCACACAATTCTATAAAGATCTACTGGCTCTAATGCAGACATTTCTCTTCTTTATATCAAACTGACTTCTGAATTTCTTCTTTCAAAGTAAACTCTCCTCAAAAAGCACAAAAGTTTAACCTAGGAAACCTTATCCGGAAGCATTATTAGATGCTCAAGAGTGAAGCCGTACTGTCTGCATTGTTAGGGATTCAAGGAATATTTTAATTTAATTCATATTTGTATTATTATGAGTCCAAAAAGTGCTAGAAACCCTCTTGATTTTTGCCATGATTATTATTACTAGAGGTTCAAAGGCAAAATATGTTTTCAAAGTCTACTGCTATTATGCCAGACATGTTGCTATGGTAACTACATGTTCAACTCTACATCTGTAAATTAAATAAACCACCACAGGTTTCTATGGTAACAACACCCTACACTTCACACCTGTACAATGAGCAGAAAACATCCACACCAGAGTTACTTTAGCATCATGAGGATACTGTTATATTTTATCAAATATATTTATTTATTACAAGTTAATGTAAATGAATATGTTTCCTCAGCATCAAGGCGAAATCTATCTATCTATCTATCTATCTATCTATCTATCTATCTATATATCTAAAATATTTGAAGGTTTTTTATGGTTTTATCTTTACTTGTAGTATACCAGTTAACCATAGAAATATCTGACAAATATACGTATTTCAAATATGAAGAAATGTTGATATGCAGCAGAAAGGTAAAAAAATAAATTATCAATGTTGAAAACAGCTGTGCTGACGAATGTTTTTTGTGGAAAACGTGATACATTGTATTTTTCAAGTTCAAAGTAGCAGCATTTATTTGAAAGATAAATACTTTGTAAAATGTTTTGTAACATTATATATATATATATATATAGGGTATTAAAAAAGTAAAAAAAACAAAACAAAAAAAGTTGTCAATCAAATGCTAGTATTTTGGTTGCTGTTGTTTTGATGAATGAGTTTATGAATGTGAAAGTGTTACTCTGAGAAATGGCCAGAGGATGAATCCAGTCTGGCGCTCTGAAAACTTCAAGAACAACCAACTAATCATGAAGAAACTGCCAATCAATCGAAACCATGGAAACAGGCGGGAGGACTGGAAGTGTTTTGATATGAGCAGGAGGCGGCGAGAGAAACGACGAGAAAAGCTGAAATGTAGAGAACGAAAGCGAGAGGAAGGAGAGTGACAGACAGAGGTGGAAGAAGAGCGGGAGCTGCAGCAGCGTGTTTGATGCGTGTGCTGCGTTTGTGTTGTTTGTGCTCACGCTGAGCGTCGCTCGTCTGCTGCACTTCCACACACTCACTAACAACCACAGAGAAAAACACCACACCTGGGTTACCAGAACAAGCTGTAAAACAAGCTGTAGAGACGAGGGCTTATTTGCTCTGTAGAATGGGCAATGCGTCGCTATGCGGTTGCTAGGATGTTCTTGGTTAAGAGCAGATCTCTGAAATGAAAACCAGGGATGTTTTCTAGTTTAGTGGTCAAAATATCTCTGAAAACGCATGTGTTAATATCTATGAATTAAAAACAAGGAAAATATATATTTTTTTGTTTTTGGCCAAATAATGATGACAATTTATTATTATTATTATTGATAATAATTGTGTTAGCAGGTCAAACTGACCCTTACTGGTTATAATAAAAATTTACCAATAATCACACTATGAAAAAATAAGATCAAACAGATCAAACAGTATTATAACAAAATTATGACTTGTATTATGACTTGTAAAAAATCCATTATATAAAACTAAATAAATATATGTGAAATAAACATATGACAAATAATAATTTTTTTTTTTTTTTTTACTTTTTCTAATTGTATTACATTTTTATTTTCACAAACTGAATATACTGTATACAGTAATTATGATGTTATTTCATATTTGTGCTTTTGGAAACAGGTCTGTACTTTTCCTAATTAGGCTTGATATTTTGGCATTTCAGGTTAATTTTTAAACATGAAGTCTGTGCTTTCTGCAAATGTAAATGTTTAGTTGATTCATTTATTTATTCATATTTGGTGTGTGAGAGAATTATGTTCAGGAATGTTTAAAATACATTCAAAACAACCCAGCATGCTGTTCAGGACTTATTATGCATTACAACTATGGAAGCTTGTTTCAGCCACAGAGAGTAAGTAAGTAAGTAAATAAATAAAAAAATAATGCAATTTATGTAAAAAAAAATTCATGATTCCGACTTTTTTGCAAGAAATAAACACAGAATTGCATGGGGGGGAAAGTCACAATTGAGATAAAACGTTGCAATTACATTATTTATATTTTTTCATTTTGTGCTGGAAACAAAATAAGGAAATTGCAAAATGCAAACTTAGAATTGCGAGAAAGAAAGTCAGACTTCTGAGTTTATATCACACAGTTATTCTCTGAATTGTGGGGGAAAACAAAGTATTAATTGCAATACAAAATCACTTCTGAGAAAGAAAAGTCAGAATTGCAAGAAACAAACTCAGAATTGCATGAAAAAAGTTTGAATTTCACGATAAACGTGATAAACTCAGAATTGCAAGATGTAAACTCAGAATTGCGAGAAAGTAAGTCAGACTTTGAGTTTCTATCTTGCAATTCTGACTTTTTTCCATTTTGAGTTTATATCTCAGTTTTTCTCAGAATTGTGAGAAAAAAATCAGATTGGTGAGATATAAAGTGAAAATTGCGAGTCAAAATTAATTCTGAGAAAAAAAAATAGAACTGAGAAAAGCTCAGAATTGTGAGATGTAACTCAGAATTTATAGAAAAATTGTCAGAATTGTGAAAAATAAAGTCAGACTTCTGAGTTTATTTCTTGTAATTCTGACTTTTTCCTCAAAATTCTGAATTTATATCTCCTAATGTTTCTCAGAATTCTGAGGGAAAAAAGTGAGAAATGCGAGATATAAGTTCTGAGATGTAACCTTTCTCGCAATTCCAATTTTTTACATCTCACAGATCTAGGTTATTTCTAATTAAGTTTATCCCGCAATTCTGACTTTTTTTTTTTTTGAGTTTCTCACAATTCTGACATTTCTTTCTCAAAATTGAGTTCATATCTCACAATTCATACTTTTTTCTCACAATTTTGAGAATAACTGAAATATAAACTCACAATTTCTGACTTTATATCTTGCATTTCTCAAAATTCTGAATTCATATATAGCAAATCTGATTTTTTTTTGTCCTCAGAATTCTAAGAAAAATTGTGAAATATAAACTAAAAAAAAACAAAAAAACAATCAGAATTACAAAAATAAACTCAGAAGTCTGACTTTCTTTTTCACTGCTCTAATTTTATATATATGTATGTGTATATGTTAGGGATTCAAGGAATATTTTAATTTAATTCATATTTGTATTATTATGAGTCCAAAAAGTGCTAGAAACCCTCTTGATTTTTGCCATGATTATTATTACTAGAGGTTCAAAGGCAAAATATGTTTTCAAAGTCTACTGCTATTATGCCAGACATGTTGCTATGGTAACTACATGTTCAACTCTACATCTGTAAATTAAATAAACCACCACAGGTTTCTATGGTAACAACACCCTACACTTCACACCTGTACAATGAGCAGAAAACATCCACACCAGAGTTACTTTAGCATCATGAGGATACTGTTATATTTTATCAAATATATTTATTTATTACAAGTTAATGTAAATGAATATGTTTCCTCAGCATCAAGGCGAAATCTATCTATCTATCTATCTATCTATCTATCTATCTATCTATATATCTAAAATATTTGAAGGTTTTTTATGGTTTTATCTTTACTTGTAGTATACCAGTTAACCATAGAAATATCTGACAAATATACGTATTTCAAATATGAAGAAATGTTGATATGCAGCAGAAAGGTAAAAAAATAAATAAAAAACATGTAAAATATGTGATACTTATTAAAATACTACACTCTATCAGGTAAAGAAAAAAATATATAAATTTTATTAAAAAAAATGTTAAATGGAAGGTTTGCTTTATAAAGTACAGAGCACAATAATAGTAGTAGTAATAATAATAATAATAATAATAATAATATATTTTAAAATGGTGAAATGGAAAGTTTGCTTTATGAATTACATATAAATCACGAACCAAACTGCTATTTTCATGAAAATAATTGCTCATCCATAAACACAGAAACATGTTATTTTCCACAGTACTAGTGCAATTATCAAAGATGAAAGCAAGCAAATAAATAAATAAATACATTCTGATTTTATGAAGAATGGCTGCTCAAAAACACAATATGGCTATAAATGAGTATTCAACTACAAAAAGCTGCAAACATGCACACATGGTCAATATATCATTTAATTTTCAATATACAGAGTGATATATTTCACAGTCATCACATTATTTGTTTGCTTAAAACAATTTCAGCAATATACAAACGTTTTACTCGCAAAAACATGCACTGATGAACGGATCAGAATAAGAGCAGAAATGTGCATGAAGCGAGGAAACAGAGTGAACGATCAGCTGCTGTCAGTTCTCCAAACACAAATAAAGGGCTGAAATGATCTGGCTGCTTCTGTGATGCTCGGAGCCTCCAAGGAGCTCATGTGCTAATAAAAACAGAAACCAGCGAGAGGGAGGAAAACAAAGCAATAAGCCAACACAAGAGACTCGGGAGGAATTATGGGAAAGGCCCACAACCCAGGAAATAACACACGCACACGCACACGCACACGCACACAGACACAGACACAGACACACACACACACACACACACACACACACACTATAAACTCTAATTTTGACACACACACACACACA